ACAACCGGTAGCAGAAAAAAATGGCACTTTTGGTCACTAGCTTCATTTAAAAAGAACACTTTATCCGTGAATGGTGTACTCTTTATGGGCCCCCGGAAAGCTGAAAGAATGTGCCTTCTATCAAACATGCAAATCGCGTGATTAACTTCCTCTTTCTAGAGGGTAATTTATAAGAAAACCCTCAACCACGTGCGAGGCTAGGCCATCCCCTTCCTCTCACCACAAAGGCTCGTAAACGCACATTGGAGCCAGCAAACTGGCACACCTGCCCCACCCTCTCTGTATGGCTGATGAATAGGACCCAGTCATAAAGTACAGAGCATACGTGATAGCGAAACTCTGAACCACATCTTCCAAAGTCATAACTTTTGTCATCAGCACAGCGCTTTACCTCTTACTGCTTTGGATGTATATTTTGGCCGTCTTTGTTTAACTCATCAGCCACAGCTCCTTTATCTGCTCTGAAGTGGCTATCAAGAAGAGATTAATCAAACTTATTAATCATGCTGTACCTATGCCAAATTCCATTCGAGTCTTCTGATTTGGGTACTCTTAACCCCTTACAGCAACATGAAATATGCTGACCGTAAATTAAGCACCCTTACTTATAGTGCCTTCCACCTTACTTTTATTTGGCGTTTGAAAGCATATCGCTCCTAATTTCCGCACTTTCAGACCGAAAAGTGGGTTATACTACTAACTAAATTCAGCAATTTTCTGCATAGTTTACATGCTATTGGTAGAATTGTACAGTTCAAACCGGTTCAAAGGGTGCATCGCCTGAAAGTACCTTTTTTTTGGATCCGAATAAGTTCACGAAACCAAAACCAACCATGTGTGATTTTCAGGTTTACAAAACTATCCGTTTAAGGGTTGAATTGATGTCAGAACTGCTCCATGATGATGCTATTTAAATCCTTTTATTTTGTTTCACATTTATAATAGGAAAGCTTGTGAAGGGTGGATTCGATGCCATGACTTTATCTGTCACCGCTGCCATCCATCCACCCATCTACTTATCCAGTCTGTTGGAATTGCCTACAGAGCCTCATTTGTGTTTTAGCTGAGGGCGCCACTAAGCCTCAAAATGCCGTAAATTTGCCTTGAGTCGGTGCAAATCCAAATCCAGCAGATGAGAACTGATCTCATTTGAACAAATGACATTATGCAAAGACGCTGGCACTAATCACTGGGTTTTTGGCACTCTCAGTGCGATTGAGATTGCACAATATGAAGTAAAGGTAGATAGACTGTGAAGACGCCAAAGGGGTATCGTTTTGACAAGCAATTTTTTAAATTAACGATGACTGGATGTTAGGCTTCCAGTCAAGAGGACTCAAACACATCGTTTGACCAACTTCTTGCCAAGTTGTGGGGATCGGAGTCATTGTTTCTCCATCCTGAGGGATATTTTTTTGCCATTTGTGATCTCTGTTGTAATTCTACGCAACTTTCCCACTTTGCACCCTCGACAATCACAAGTCTGCAGCCAAGTTTAACAAATTAATGTCTGTAGGAGGTATTTGCGTCATTGAACCTATGGTTGCTATTTTGGCTGCTACATCAAACATGCATTCCTACTTTTGCTTCCGTCATCAAGATTTTTACACCGGACACGCCTTCTTCTCCTTCCTTTCGTCTGTTTTAAGTTAAAAATACCTCAGTAACTTATCATGCATTGCAAAAAATGGGCAGTTTAGTATTCATCCTATCCCATTCCACGTGAAGCTGATATTCAAGTTACGAAGTGATCAGCGATGATAATTTCACAATGCTTTACTCTTTTCATACGTAACTGCAACTGTTCTACGATAAACATCTTGTCTCTAGGTTTTGTTCACATAGCAAATGTGTCGCCATTGGTCTCACTTATTTAGTAACTCGTCATTTTTTAGTACTGACCAATGGATGAATTACAACAGCGGGTCCAGCTGAAGTTCACTTTGCCGAAGAGGCATAAAGCTAAAAGCCCACGTTCGGATGGTCACGCAATTTCCTTCAGTGTCAGGGCCCTGCCTGAGACTGCTTTGCTGTAGGCATCGAGGGGAGGCTTCAGGTGCGCCAAGCTGGAGCACCGACGGATACTATTCAAGCCACATTTCGCGAATCGTGGAATAAAGTTTGGGGTTAAGATTTGGGACCTTAAACGTTGACATGCATTGTGTGATGGAGCATTTGGTTCACTGCTCACTCACTGTGCATTAAAAGGCGATGCAAGTCATTCAGCAGATGGCAGGGCTCGCTTTATCATGTACAAAAGACTGTGTGACGTGTTAACAGAAATGCCATAGTGGGCAGGTCAAGTCACTGCTTCGTCGATCGTGATTCGTGAAGACCAAACTCATCGCATAAATGAATTTTCCAATTTAAATGGACGCGTATAGAGTGTTGGACGTATTTAAACAAAAGTCTGGACTTTCAACCCTCATAGAGGCGGTTATTGAAACATGCTAGGCTTAAAGTAACTGACAGCTCAAAGCCTGAACTCAATAAATGGCATATTAATGAGCTTTTGGCTAATAAAGGAGGTTTGTATCAAAAAGAACTTTACTTAAACCACCTTATTGTAAACTTTGTTTCCGACTGCAAGTGATAGAATTTGGGCTTAGTAGAAGCTGGTCCCGAGTTGACCCAACGTAGAACATGAAGACCAAGAGCAGCCGTGGGTCCAGACTATGGCTAAGTCGTGTCCAGAATGCGTAATTCTAGCAAAATGTTGTAGATGGGTTTGCTACAGCCCCGACAACGGCTGCTGTCAAGGGGTCATATGACCCGACTGATGGAAATTACGCATTTAGCCTTAACGGTTTTGGCAACTTCCGACTGTTTACGTTAGATCAGTCCTCTAATCAAGTCTAAATTCATTTTAGTCAAGTTGCTACAATTCCTGTCTGAAACGAATTTGGAAGAAATATTAAAATCATTTTATTACTTAGTTTTTGAAGCACTGTATCTTTATCCTGAAAAAAAACTTTAGTGCTCCTGTAGAATATTAGTGCTTTATTCACCAAAAGCAATCTTGATTGACGCTAACTTTTTTTGTAAAAATGCGAAATCATATTTGATCTTCCCTTGAAACTAGAGGGGTTCGTAATGTCGAGTAAGAACAACCAAACAATGTTGGACAGAGACAATTTTGACAGGGACAATTTTTGTATACCATACGGAGTATGAAACTAAATTAATTATCCAGTAGCGAGTATCGACCCGATGCACCACTTTGGACGAAGTTCCACGTTTGGAATACTACTAATGTGTCATAAGTAGAACGCGTACTCACTTAACCCTACAATTATGGTAATGAAGACAACCATTCAACAAATAAATCCGCCCTTCAGTATAATTTGTTGATTATTTCAGTTCATAATTCAGTGCACAATAATCTTACGCTAATTATCAGTTTTTTATTAATTGTTCTTTTATTGCCTTTTTCCTTAGAAGAACACCACTTTTTCGACTTCCTCCTCTCCAAACCTTGTTAGTCTGCCGGGATGTGCGAGGTTGTGAGATGGCATAACAATGTAGAAGCGACGGTCTTGACGCTGCCTCCTGATTGGTAAATCGTGTACACACGACGACCTTGGCGAAACAATCAGTGCGCTACACCAGTGGTGCTTCACGCACAATTTTTTGCGATGTAGCGTAATATTGGCAGCCGATTTCTTTCCGTATGATGGCGGTGATAGCAACAATAGAGGAAGTGCTTTTATCAAATCTATGCCATACAATTTTCACTTATCCTTCACCTTAAAATTGGCTTCCTTCTCATCCTGAACAGTGTTTTAGGTTAAAACTGCTGAGGTGGAGAAGTAGGATGGTAACTTACCCCTCTGGTATGATTGAAGTGACAATGTATTGTAACAGTCACAATCCTCTCAGAATGATTTACTTTTTACCAACTTAATTGCCAGTCTACCTTTTGACATGGCATTTTCATTCTTAAAAATGTGATAAGCATGTACCAACCCCATCATACGTCTTCGAATGGAGCTCTCAGTCTTGAAATAGAGAACGGCATAGCAGACATTTCCAAAACATCCGCGGTTGGCTATTTTCAGCCGACAAGTGGCTTACGGTGACATAATGGAGAACAAATGTTTCTTGCAGCATTTCAAAAGCCCAATAAGCAGTGATTTCACACTACACTCTATCTGAGTCAATTTTTGTTCTAAGGCAAACTTATTTCTCATTTTAAGGCAACTGCTGATGTGCACAACATGGGACTGGGAGGGGAGCACAAAATTTTAGCCAATGGCTGAGCCCAAGTTAATTCCAGAAGCTTTGAAAGAACCAGGCATAGATTACAAACTCTTGAACGTGTTGAAACGCATCTTAGAAGGTGACAAACAGTTTATCAGATGAGGAGGAGGTAAATCAGCTATGGTCCACTACAGCTTAAAGGGGCACTACCCTATAGCTGTATTAAAATGCATAAAATGCGAAAAAGTCACAAATGAACGGTAAGGAACCTCACCTAACTCACATTCGCATTACTTCCCATCTATCCGTCCGCTTGTCTGTCAAGAATGACAAATAAGCGATTGCAGTAAGCATACTGAAGGGAGCCTTAGGAGAACAGCAAAAAGGCATCCGCTTTTGGCCCTCAGAGCAAAAGGTAGCATTAAACTAATGGAATACTCAATTACAAATGCTAACAGCGTTATGCCTGGTACACAGCAGACTGCACTGGTAGTCGTCCATTCATCGTACCTGTGTTTGTGTCGAGGTTACACTGCGGTTGTAAGATGTATGCCGCCTCGGTTTCATGATACATTTTATCGCCTCTAAATTTGCCTTTTTGCCGGTACAAAACCTATAGATTGGTTGTTGGGCTGTGAAGAGGTGTAGAATCCATCTTAGAGACTCTCATGCCGTCTCTTTCCACTCAATTGGTTCAAGTATGCTCCCAAATTGTTACATTTGATTCAGTTCCTTTGTTCGCTTGTTGCTATGGTTTTGGGTGACAACAAGAAGAGAGTAGACCCGTCTCCTCATTCGCCATGATGGCACGGAGGAGGAGGAGTGAAATGCTGCCCGCCTACGTGGAGAGAGTTCCCTTGGCCAGAAGACTCAAACCCGATACGTGGATGACCATTGGGATAGAAGCTGCGTTGGTATTCATGGCTATCTGCGCAGGAGTTTTCGTTTATTACCGAGCTCACGACCTGTCCCTTTATGCCACCCGTTTCTATGCCCACATGGGCTCTTCTGTAAGTTCGTTAATTCGAATTAAAGTGGAAGGAGCTGGTGAATCAGGTAACGCTGCTGTTTTTCACAAGGCACAGATTTATATGGCCTTCCTTCAAGTTAAATCAACTTTCTTTTCTTTAAGGATAATGGTGTTCTAGTACCCATTGGCAATTTTTCACTACTCGACTAGAGGTTCGCTTTAAGTTTTCTTGACTTAAGCTGCTTAGCTTATAAGGACGGAAAGGGAACTTCACAATATTACAGCTTCGCAATATGTTGCCTTGGCTAAATCCAGACCGAATACTAGGAGCCACACATGTAGACTAAATAATGTTATCAAATACCCATTTTTGAATGAACCGGTTACTCACGACGAAAATTGGTCTTTTATTGACTATAAACTAAACGACTTTTTGCCCTAAAGTTGCGCACTTAGAATGAGGCTGGCCAATTGGCATGACCATGGCTTCCATTTCGGCATGAAGGTTTCTCTAGTTTTCATGACTTAATAGGGAATGCAATGTTTTGAAAAGTCCAAAAGATTAAATGAAGGATCCTAAACGTTCGAAGTGACACCCTGACAATATGTCAGAATATGTTTGTAATCGCCTCAGCACAGATAAAAGAGCTTGAGCAAACAAAGACAAGGTGGAATGGAAAATAAAAAACGCCACCCATGTACACACAGTATTTGCAAAACCTAGAAATAATTAGGTCCTCCCAGCTGCCCACATCCCGTTCTAACATAATCTTTCTCCATGCGGTGAAACAATGTGATTGCCAAAAAATTATGGAGGAAATTGACTTTTAATGGAGCAATCGCGATGAGCATTCAGCTTGGTGATTAACCATGGCCATTCCATTGTCCTCAATACACTGACATACTTGACATATTTAAGTAGTATAGGGTGAACCTCGTGTAGAGATCCATCAAGGTGGTTGTGTAAATGCATTGCTAAATGTATTAATACTGAATTCCAGCACGAACTGTTCATTTGGATCATGGCAGCCATAAATGGTGGAAGTCCGCTATTGATGGGCAGTTGAAGAAGAGGAGACAGATTCACTTCCTAAGCGTTAAGAAGCGGATCAAATGGTGGAAAAGAGGAGCTAGACACGGAAATGAATAATTGGTCAAATCATGGTATCGCCGAGACCCACTTGAGTGTCAGCTCCTTTTGAACTCCCGTTTTAAGCAGCATTCTTTTATGACTCGAAAATATTTATATTTCTCCTCAGAACGTGTAAATGTTGAGTGGTAGTGAGAAAGGAGAATGAAAATTGTAAGACAGGTTTGACTTATTTACAGTCGCTATGATGACTTCAACATATTAATCAAAAGGTAGCTATGATTTTGTTCGCTGATGTAAAATCTCGACGTTTATAATCTTTGGTCTTTCATTGGCTTTCCAAAAGTAGACAGATTTCCAAAATAGACGTCACTTATCTTACACTTACAGGAGGCGCAGCATATGTTGAGCCAATATCACCTCATTCGTCGGGACGAGGATCCAGAGCACGCTAAACAAGCGGAACACTGGCTCATAAAAGCAGCTGAGTCCGGTCACGGAGTTGCAGCCTACAACCTGGCATTGGCTCATATTCGCGGAGATCTGCCTTCCAATTCCACTCCTGAAGCGAGTCATCTCCACAGACTTCTCTCTCAAGCTGTCAGTCAGGGTGTTCATGAGGCTCTTGGGTTATTGCACTACTGTGGACATGGTCAATGTCTCAAGCAACAGAGGAGACGACGACACCAGAAGCAGCAGCCACAGGACGAAAAACGGAGACCTCCTTTGGAACGTGATCCTTAAATCTAACCTTTCTTGGTGTATAAACTTTGAAGTTGTTGTAGGTTCCCCGCAGTTTTTAATTTACGTGTCTGATGCAATGTTGTGCTGCTTGCCTAACACTTTTACCCACCAAGGTCACAGTGCATTTTTGACCTTGGCAGTTTGAATGCTTTAGTGGTCCAGCACAACATCGCAAAGTTCACTGCTTTTCAACCTTTGAAGATACTATCTCCTCATCTCAGCAGCATTGTGAACACCTTTCAGATTACGGATGGAAGTGATTGAACTACCTTCCGGGTTTAGGTGCTGGTACGTGCATGTAGTCAAAACTGCTCCATACCTCATTGTTCGACTAAAACGTGGACGAAAAGTTGGCATAACACTAAACTCAATCACTTCTACCATCATTATCATAAACGTAGAACTGAAATTCCACTTGAAGATGGCATTGCTTCACCAAGTGGCTGTAACATTGCCATGAAATACGCTTCCATTCATTAATCGCATTGATGGCACGAGCCTTCCTGAGTTTTAGGAATGGGAGCGAAAATCTTCAAGCAGTATTATGCCCATTCCAGAACTTCATGGTTTAAATTAAAAAGAGAGTAGCGTTTACTATGTATGACAAAGATATGCTTCATAAGTCACCTGTAGCGACACCGAGACACTGAATCTGAATTCGGACAAAACCTTTAATTTGCAGTATGCAGTTTTTTCAAGGGCAACAACAACTATTTTCACTGAAGCCTTAATAATTCGCTGACACCTACCACCATTCATTTAAGGCTCATTAATTCATAGTTCTTTGTCTCATAGACTTTACGAGCAAATAACATTCCCAAGGACTGGAGCTCTTTATCACTTAGTTGTAAAGGGTATTTTGAAATGCCATGTTAATATTTTTTCACATTAGTGACGAAAAGGTAAATCTAAACATACTGCGATGCTGGGACATGCCTTTGCCATCCACTCACATTGTTTTATGAATGAAACATACACAAATATAGCCAACAAACCTTCCTCCTTGCATAACAGGAAGTCTAAGTTAGGTGATTTTAGGGAGGACAAAACTTGCACAATTTAACGAAACGCATTTTATAAGGAAAACTGCCTTCACAAAAGTCGATCTGTAAATCACCTCTCTTCTGGCACTCATGCAAAAACAGCACATCATGCAGGGTTGAATGACGTTATTACATTGGGCAGTTATGACCTCACACTCGCTGATGCCCTTTTGGTAGTAAATATAATAGAGCAGCCAAAAGGATTTTGTTTTGATGACCTTTCCAATTGGCATATTGTTTACTTAACTTTATAGATGACTTCTAGCGATATTGCTTGCCCATTTAGTAATTTTCGCCGACATAAACCGCCCCCAAAACGATGGCCTCGCACACGAGTCTATAGGCGGTATCATCGTTGCCTGAGTAGTTCATTTCTACCAGCAAACGATAACCGCGCTTTCTGTTAAGCAGTACCTGTAAAGCAACCCCTCCACCGAAGCTCTATTGATTTTATTGATTTTGACATTGATTTTTTAACTAGGTTAACACAGCTTTACTTTCCAGGGGGTGGTATCCCTCACTCACATTTTCACACAAGAAATAGTAAAAGTTCGCATTTCAAATCAAAAAATGGAGAGTGGTGACCCAATCTTAAAAGTTTCAAATTCTGACTTATTATAAAATTATTTGACTTGAAATTATGTGACCTCATAACTTCAATAAAATCAGAGGAATGAGCGGTACAAAAGTAAATCTGGCGATACAGAAACAGATGTTTCACAGCTAGTGTCGCTTCAGCTGTAACAGTTGCCGAGGGGAGGTTCCATCTTTAAATTACCAGCATTCAGAAACAGAAACTGAGGCTGTTGCGCTTTGAGGGCGGGTTCGCTTTCCACTGGCATCAAGATGGCATCACCAATCTTACATGAACTCGAGGTTATGGCTGATAGGGAAAATAAAATGCATTCTCTGTGTAACAAAAATGGAGAGTATGCAGGCACTCCGTAATCACTCTTTACATTCGTCTGATTAAGGTAAGCGATTGACCTTCAGTTGTGTACAGAATCATGGTCAAAAATATCAGGGTTAAGAGAAACCTTTATTTACCCTGAGATATGCTGTTATGTGGCAACTGTATGAAATATGTTAATTTTGTGAATTTCAGTACCTGAAGTCTCCTTCACTGGTGCTCACTACTTGGCTAACTCAAACGCATCTTAATGAACTTATAAGGGTCAACTTGTAAGTGGGGCCCTCTTATTGTTCAAACTGGTTTATTTGCCTTTCTAATCCAGTAAAATGGGGAATCAAGGTCTATTTTAGCTATTAATCAGTAAGATCGGAGACCCTTCGATGAAAGACTGTGCTTTATCTATAATAAAGTGGATATGGTGTGATGATTCACCAGAGATATCTGACTCATTTTAATGCTTGTTTGCTCTTTAAACTAGTCCACACTAGTGGAGAAAGGCGCTGTACCCACTCGCGTACATCCTACACTTTATTTCAAAGGGTCACCAACACGACGTCATGAAAGCGATGATTCAATGCATGTTGACAACGCAATGGCACTAGGCGTTGCATGTGGAGTGTTGTATCGCACACTCCAATTTCCACCAACGTTTTCTGAAGCCCTTTAGCATGGAAAATGAAGTTCACTACCAGTGGCTTGATCTCGACCTCTGCAGTGTATTTGCAATCAAGAAATTTGGACACTGACAACATTCCATGCATATAATGAGTTATTCTTTATTCATCAATGCCATAGGCTTAATGGCTTTGTCTGGAACCTGCTGACAGGAATCTAGAAACTGTACTGAAGCAAATGGTGGCGCATAAAAAGACAGCTGTAAAAGTACCAACCAGGCAACTTCGGAGTAGAATGATTGAATTTATCACAATTATCAACATCAAAATGAGCTGTTAAGTGACTTGCAAATAAAAGCACTTTTCCTTAGTTCAGATTGAAAGTGATATGAAGTGTGCAAAGCCTATGTGAAAATGGCCAGGGAATGAGTTGATGTGCCAAAGGAAAGTGGCATAGAACACTGCAATCCCCGTGGTCATTCCTTCGATCTTGACAGCAGCAATTAACCCAAGGCTGAGGAACTCAAGTTTGGCTGATTTTGTTGGGAGTCGTGGTCTAAACAGTTTTAAGAGAGTTCGTGCCGCCTTTAAACAGTTTTGTGATCAATTAAAAGCTGATAGGGTTTAAATAAATACCTAACAAGCTTTGGATTTAAACTTCTGGTCATTTCCATACTCCTTACCGCTTTTACACTTCGATGAGGTCAGTTTCTTTCCCTAAACTCCCTACTGCACAAGAGTGGGTCGAGACGATGACCACTGGAAATCTCCACAGTTGTAAACGCGCTGAACCATGTAACCTGATTGCTATTTTTGTCAAGGAATGCACCAAAACACAAACCTGTATTTTAGAGAGCTTGAAAGTTGGATGATCGCAAAATGGATGAGATTGTACATATCAATTTCCACTCATATCGCCACAGGCTACTAAACAATGAGAAGGAGTTGTTCAGGTATGGATTACTGCAGACAAAATCAAGGGTGGTGAAAGCTTTGAACGGCTTGTTACACTGCTGCTAACAACGCAATCCACTGTCAACATCTTGGAATGGACACTGTGGCATTTTGGTCTGAAAATAAGTGGAAAGTTGAGTTCGATGCACCAATCAAACTGCTGATTAAAATGTATCGTTCACTTTACTTTCATTTGGTACAAAAATAAAATCAAACTCATTTTTAACTACTTTCTAATTTCAAACCATAACCCTTAATTTTCGTAGAAGAAATGTCGTAAAAGTGTGGGTACCACTCTAGACAAAACAAAAATCCAGCCTCCATATAGTCTCGCAATCTCGGCCCAAATGCGCCGCCTCCGTGTGGATATGCTTTTGCTGCTTTGAATTCCACAGATAGCAGCGTGTTCTGTCCTGCTGTTTTGCCATTCCCGAAAGCGTGTCTGCACTTGTTGAGCGTCTGAAAATGTGATTAGCACTTCATTTCACGTTTCATCGCACGCCTTCCTTCCTTCCTTTCTTCCTTCTTTCCGGCCTTTTCGGGTGTTAACCTCCTGGCCATTTCGACTGACAAAAATCAAGCAAAACTTCAGCGATGCACTCCCATTTTTAAAGCCTTATTTGCAATTCTGTCTTACAACAAACTGCACAGACGGACACAAAGTTGTCAAGAGGACTCCAAGTGAGCTGTTTTGGCTACCTTTGTTTGACTTCCTTTTAATTCAAACTCCTTTTATTTTCCACTTTTCTCCTTTTTATGTGGACAAATAAATGTCTTCTTTTAGCAATAACAAACTCGTCCCTCGTTTTATTGCTTCATTTTAGAAAGAAAGTTTTGCTTCCAGTCATCAAAAAAGTTCTGAGAACCACTCAGCCAAACTTTAATTGCTTTACGTCCTTCATGTGTTCGAGTAGAAGCATTCGTTCCAAGTACGAGGAACTTAGCTGTGCTCTGGAAGCCTTAATCCCTTCATCCTGTGGGCTTCATTTTTTGTAGGTGTAGAGGCTGGTCGGAAAGAAAGCCCTCTTTCATAACACTTGGATGATATTGTTGTAGTCGTGGAATCAGTTTACCTACATTCGGACAGTATGGCAGTCCGATTCGAGGACACTGGGACAAATTCAGCTGGAGGAGATATAACGACTGCGACACACCAACTTGAGAGAAAACAAGATTGAAACGCACTGTTAAAAGCGATGCTCTTTTGTCTATTTTAGCGGCAAATTATCTTGTGCTCTCACACATTCCAGTCTCTATATTCTTCCTACTCTCCTTATGGAAACCTAAATTAGCACCCTCAAGAACACCCGCCAACCAGTACTATTGACTATGTTCATTCAGTGAGGGACAAGTCTTGTGATTGGGAAGGAAAAAAAGTGTCCCTAAGGGATTATCGTCGATTGAAGTGAAGCTTGCTTGTAATACATCAAAGTCTGTAAACCTTCCTGCACTAGCAAAGCTTTGGTGCATTCTGCG